AATATGAAATGTGAAAAATTTTAATATGCAAGGAAAGACCTTTTATATATATTTTTTATATAAATGATAAATACACACATGTATTATTATGTATTTTTAGATATTACATTACATATTAGTTATGTATTATTATATATATTTAAAAAAAATGTACACACACATTATATATGTGTCACGATTTCGGTGGGGTCTGCTTGGGCTTTGTTATCATGGAGCACATGGCCTTTTGTTTTGACGGCTTGCCATGTGCTCTGCTGTCATCCTGGTGTTCACCCCGCCCCTCTCGTTATCCCTGTTAGCTAATTCTCCCTTCTCACCTGCACCTCGTTTTGTCCTCATTATTCTTCCCTTTATCTGGCCCTCTTGAATGCTATCTTGTGTCAGTCCGTAACATGTTGTGCAGCAGCTTAGATCGTCTCTGTCCATGCTGTGTTTGTCTGACTCGTTTTTTTATTTTATTTTTTCTAGTCTAGTCGGTCTGGCGTTCCTGTGTTTGTCACCCTCCTCTTTCTACCCTGCTGCCTCTCTAGAACTCTGGTCGGCTCCCGTCCTTGGCTCTCGCTACTCATAGGCCTGTCTCTCCACGGCAGTTTCGTCCTATTCCTCTCTGCCCATGCTCGAGACAACCCCTGGAATTCGCCGGTTCGCCCTCTCTCTTCCCCGCGGGCTCGACTGCGGCTGGTCTAACCTCCACGCTAATCAGAACTGACTTTTTGCTGGGGTTTTGCTATCCGGCTGACTTATTTACCTTTTGTTATCACCGTTTCAATAAACTTGGATTTTGTGTTCACCTGCTATTGGATCCCGGTCTCGTTTCTGACAATATGTAGAATTTTAATTACGCTTTCTGTATTTTTTTTCTTCTAAATTAACTGTGTGCATATATACATACACATTCATACTGTATTTTACATTATAAACGAATAACACATATTATATACAAATGCTATATATCATGCATTATACATAACACATATTATATATATATCACAAATATTAATATATTTATGCATTATATTCATATAAATTATTTTATATATAATTTATATGAATATATATATTTATATATTCATATAAATTATTTGGCAGCTTTTCATTGCAGAATTTCATCTTTACAGATACTTAATATTACCCTATTATTCAGTGTGAATTGCTACATTAAAAAGCGCGCACGCACACATACACACACACACACACACTAAATAAATGAACACTATTTAAAAAAAATTATTATGTAAAAGACATTTCATGACCAGTCACAAATATTTATGGTCATTACATTTTCTCAATTCACCCGCTACTGGCAGGTGTGATAAAAACATAATTTTGGCACACATCCATTCCTCCATCTATCCATATATATATATATTTACCTATTCAATCATCTGTCCATCCATCCACCCGTTCAAGACAGCATGTGTAACGTCTGGTGGGATGTTCGGAAGCACAATGAGAGCAAATAAATCAGAGCAAAATTATGCTATGAACCATAATACTAGAGTTTTGCTCATGTTGTTCAAGGAGCGCGTGTAAACCGCTCAGTTCTGCATTTGTTTGTAGATGCACTAGGGAGAACAGACTCTGAACTTAAATAAGCTTAAACGCGCTTCCAAATGGTGCAATTTCCCACTGCTGTGTACAACCCAGACGGTCTAAATGAATTTATCACTGTACATAAGCAACAGAATACACTGAATCCATAGAGGACCTGTGTTGTGAATCAGCAACAGTAAGGCTTTGATTATTAGTACATGATCTTGCTTCAGTTTATCATTCACTGTAATATTTAAAAATGATTTCAAAACTGCTCTTCTGTCTACTGAAACTTTTATGGAATCGGCAAATTATTAAAATAATACTTTTTATTTGCATTAATATAATATAATAATAAAAATAAACCACCACCAACATTATTATTATTATTATTATTATTATTAACATAAAAGCAAAATAATAAAAATACTACTACTACTAATGTTTATTTTGTTATGTTGCTGTTGGTGGTGGTTTATTTTTATATTATATTAAATTAATGCTAATAAAAGGTATGATTATTATATGTTATTATTAGTAAACATAACAGCAAAATAAAATTATTATTATTATTACTATATAATTATATGACTATTATGTGGTGATAACAACATTAGTAATAATAATAATAACATCAATAACAATAATAAGCATCACCATAATAATTATATTATTACATATTATTATTATATTAATAATACATTTGATTTATGTATGTATTTTTTTGTGGGGTTGGTTGGCCCTGTGTTGCGGTTTCTTTGTTATACTTTTGAAAAGATGCTAGGAATTAAATTATTTTGGACTGAGCTAAGATTTTATTCTTGTCCTCTTCTGGCCTTTTATTTGTTGCCTGCATTCAGTATTGATACTAGAGGCTGGCTTTCTGGGATCGATCAACAGAGTTGTTTAGGGTTTGTGTATAAACTCCTCAGTTACAAACACATCTGCAAAAGCAATAAAGCATGCAAGCAACGTCCCCCATGACAGTAAAGAAATCTTTCAGAAGCATGTGTAAACTATCATAAGAGACCACACATTTCTCAGCGCAGGGATCAGTCCAGGCAACGTGTGTAAACTACAATATAACTTTAACTGTCCCAGCAGATGTGTTAGACTGTTGAGAGAGCACACAAACAAGCAAAGACGTGTCTAGGGAGCGTCTGCAAACTCCAGTCTTGTGAAAGAACTAAAGATGTTTTGTTTTGGAGTCACCTTCACAAAACGCTACAGTGCATCATCAAAATATCCTCATAACATCTGCCGCCAACCATGCTGACTACACACACACACTTTCAAAAAACAGAAATGTGTCAATAAATAAACATTTCCTTGCGGCACGCACAAACTCCAGTGACTCAAAGATGTCATTAATTAAACACACACACACACACATACACATACATATATATAACAAGGTCTGACTTTTCAAAGCTGTGCATCATGTTCTCCGCTTGAAAGGAAATCAAATCTGGCTATCTCAGAAACATCCATTTCAACTCCGCTTTATAGGAGAATAATAAAATGACCTCTAAAGTCATCTTTACTGTATTGCTCAATACTTCTCCACAAGTTCCCTCCTCATGTGTACTTTATTTAAACCTGGAATTGAATGAAGTTTCCTGAGAGCGGTAATTTCATCTCTCTCTGAGCGCTCGGTATATTTGACTTGGCATCAATAATTCATGAAATCTATATACATAAACAGATAAACAAGTTTCCAAATAAAAGCCCAACAAACAGAGCTGGGGTGTGTGCCAGCTAGATGGTGATGTGTAATCGTCTCTGTTACACACATACATTTAAACATGACGAGGCTGAAAGGCCTTTCTCATGATGCTGAAAGGTGAGAGCAGAGGCCAGGCCTGCAACCGTTTGATTAACATTTAGACAGCTTTCACTAGAACAAACAAATACAAGACTGAAATCAAACAGTTCACACCTCTGCAAAAGAGAGAGAGAAAGAGAGAATGACAGAATGATAGAACGATTGATAGATTGATAGACAGACAGACGGACAGACGGACAGACGGACGGACGGACGGATGGATGGATAGATGGATGGTGTCCAGTGGTTTCACATTGATCTGTAACACGATCGAGCTTCTGCCACACACACACACACACACACACACACACACACACACACACACACACAGTCTGCAAGAAGTCCTTCTGCCACACACACACACACACACACACACACACACACACACACACACAGTCTGCAAGAAGTCTGCAGAAAACTGATGTGTTGAGTTTTTCAGGAAATACCTTTTATGAAAACAAACTTATTGCATCAAACCTCACAGCACTTTCTGATCTTTCTCTCTGGCTGCTTCCCGTTTGCTGTTGCCTTCTATCGTTCTGACAGCTTGACCTTTTGTGACCTTTACAAAGTTTTTAATTAGGATCGTGCTTCCTGCTGACATGCACTATGGGGCGTGTGTCTGGAGGGAAGGGCCTGTGGCTATGAAATTAATCTGTCAATCAAAGGCAAATCCATAACACCAGCCAATCAGCAGCCAGGATTTACAGTAGGCTCAAACGATGATGTCATTATGCGGAGAACAGCGACAGACCTCAAGAACTCACACACCCAGATGCTGATATTTAAATGAGTGAATTTAAATACTAAATGAGCAGAATTAATTAATGAATAATTAGCTTTATCTACACCAAAGACTAAAACACTCGTAAAAAGACAAAAAAAGACCAAAAGTTATTACCATGTTTTTGTAGATACGGTACCATGGTAAATCACAGTGTATACAAATTATGGATGGATGGATGAATAGATAGACAGAGAGAAGGATGGATGGATGGATGGATAGACAGAGAGAAGGATAGATTGATAGATAGATAGATAGATAGATAGATAGATAGATAGATAGATAGATAGATAGATAGATAGATAGATAGATAGATAGAATGATGGATGAATGGATAGATAGATGGATGAATGGATAGATAGATGGATGATAGAACAATAGATGGATAGATAGATGGATAGAACGATGGATGGATGGATGATAGTTAGATAGATGGATAGACTGATGGATGAATGGCTAGAATGATAGATAAATGGATGGGTAGATATATGGATAAAATGATAGATGGATGATAGATGGTACATGGAAGATGGACATATAGATAGATATATAGAAAGATGGATGGATGGATAGAATAGATGGATGATAAAATGATAGATAGATGGATGGATGGACAGATAGGTGGAAGATGGGCAGATAGATAGATGGATAGAATGATGGTTGGAAGTTGGATAGATGGAAATAACGAAGGCTGGATGGATAGATGGATGGATAGAACGATGGAGAGCTGGACCATATGATACCATCACTGTACCATGGTACTTTTTAAAGGACATGCGTACAAACTCAACTTATTAAAACTGACAGTAATTTATTCTATCTATCACACAGAAGGAGTTTGATTGACAGGACACTGACCGGTGCGCGGGTTGATGCTGAAGAAGTTCTGCGGGTTGCCGCTGGAGATACGGAATGACAGGCGGGGCTCGGTTGCCGTGGCGTCAGGGTCCTGCGCCCGGATCTGAATGACGGACTGGTCCTTCGGGGAATTTTCCGGAATGGTGGCATGATACATCGGCTCAGATGTGAGGGGGGCGTTATCGTTAACATCCTCAACCTGTTCAAACACACAGATTTACCACACATATCTATCTATCTATCTATCTATCTATCTATCTATCTATCTATCTATCTATCTCACATAGGATGCACACTAATTTACCTGTATGTACACTTGTAGTGCTGCTGACTGCGGTACTACTCCCAGATCAGTAGCGTACACTGTCAGCCAATAGGAGTCCTGCGTCTCTCGGTCCAACAGATCTGTAGTGTAGATGACACCTGCAAAATAAAATGGATAAAAACACCAAAACATCACAAGCTGTACATTTTAATTCCAGTCAAACAGAGGCAGAATCGATAATTTAGTTTCAGTGCATTCTACACGGAGACTGACAAACTCATATTAACTCGGATAGCAGTAATTGCTGTCAAAAAAGCAATTACAGAGCAGAAACATTCAAACTGAGCTGTGTAAATTGTTAAAATTTGGTCTCATATCTCAGATTAATAATCTAAATGAGCAGTTTATCCTTGAAAAGTGTTTGGTGTTATTAAAAACATTGCTGTTTGAGTATAACAGCAACAATGGCTCAGCCAATGGCATGTGTTTGGGGCGGGGCTTCCTGCTTAGCTGGCCAATGGCCAACAAACCTGTTTGGAGACAGTCATTATTACAGAAGGTCTGTTTACTGATGCTAGTGGTGCAGAAATTACACACTTTACCTTAGCAATAATTGCTTTTTACAAAAAATAAATTACTGAGCAAAAACATTAAAACTGAGGGGAATTGTTTTAATGTTAAATACTGTCTTGTATCTCAGATTAATGTACTAACTAAGCAATCAATTTGTCAGGTAATTTTCTTGAAAAGTGTGTGGCGCTATCAAAACATTGCTGTTTGTTTGAGCCTAACACAGCAACAATAGCTATGTTTCCATCCACCTATTTTTATGCACATTTTGGAATATCGCATGAAAAAATGCTGAATGGAAACGTCAAGATGCGCATACATTTTAAAAATGCGCATAAAAAAATGTATGTGCACATCTGAGTAGGATAAACTTTTTATCCGATAAGAAAAAATGCACATAAACTACGATGGAAACACATTTACCGAATAAATTCCTCCATGCGCATCTAAAAAGTCATGTGACTTTGCGCTATGAGATGGGATAACTTGACTAGCAGCGGACCGATCTCGTTCACAGCATCTATATATATGTTGCTATGGTCATTCTGAAAAGCCTGAGCAAAGTCTGTCGCCAAAGTATTTCTGTATAATTTTCTTACACACTTCGTTCCCAAACAACTGGCATCCACCTCTGAGAGCAGTGACCGCATTTATTGTGTTTCGTCTGCTCGCTCTGGCGCAAGTAATTTATTATATATAAATATTATTATATTCAGTGGCTTCTCCTATATTCTTATATCCTATAAGTGATATTTAGTGCCACAGTTTACCAGGAAGTGACGATGTTGTTCTCTTTGACTCGTTGGATGGAAACGGTGCTTTATTCACATATGTTTTATGCGATATTCCAGTTTTGTGCATAAGTTTAATTCGAATCTTTGGATGGAAACAGAGCTAATGTCTCAGCCAATGGCTTGAGTTTGGGGCGTGGCTTCCTGTTTGGCTGGCCAATGGCGAGTGTTCTGGAAACCTCATTATTTATCACAACTGTTCTGTGGTGATGCTAGTAGTGAGTTACCTTTAAAAATCTCTGTTTATAATACAGCAGCACACAGGTTGTGGTAAATTTAGATCAATAAGGAGGTCACTTCCATAAGTCATGTAACAGAAACAGAGAAGAAGAAAACACAACCCTCAGCCTACAGACAAAATAAGACCTGAACTTCTGACCCCAACAACTGCCCCACATTTTCAATCGCTCCATGTAACCGTAAACTGAGGTCTTCAGTCTTGGGGACAAAAAATTAAATTATGTCCATGGTCAGAACATTAAAAAAAGGAAAAAAAAGCAGTTCATCTCAGGCACAGATTTGCCACAAAAAACGAGACTTTGCTCTGGTGGGACTGTTGAGCTACATCTTACATATAAAAAAAATAAAAATAAT